CGCTTTACACTATATTATTACCCCAGCAGACCATAGAACACTCCGAAACATTCTCAGCTTCCCGGGAAGCATACAGTGCGAGCAGCCGATTAAGCGCTCAAACACTAACAAACTGACAAGATCTTTCGCTGTCTATAGCCGGGTACCCATTCCCACCTGGGTGAAGTGAGGAAAATTCGTGCAAAGTGCCTTTCCCAAGGACACAACGTGACAACGTCGGGCCCTTGACGGGATTCGAACCCACGACCTTACGGTTGCGAGTCCGAGAGCCTAACCACTAGGCCACCGACGCCAGCAAACAGCAGCTAGTCAAGATATGTGGCGGACTGCATGACCCCAGACGAGATACATATATAGAGGTATGGTCATGAGTTGGAGGTGACAAGGTGACTGGAGGGGAACAGCATCAGTGAAAAAAAACAAAAATCCCCCAAAATACAAAAAATAAAACCTCCAAAACCTCATATTAAGCTATAGTTAATAACTTTGCCTTTCGACATCCCACTACCACCAAAAATGAAATTTTTCAATCTTGTTTTTAGCGAGGTTGTGTAAGTAGTACTTTTGCCGTTAAAGACTGGTCGATCCAGCCTACTTGTTTTTTTTAAGACCAGCTCTTTTCGGACTCGAGTCCGATTAAATTTTTATAATCTATTTGGACATGAATCCGAAAAAGCGTTTGATCTATTAGTACTCAGGTCCCCAAAAAATGTTTTATTAAATATTATTCGGATTCAACTAAGTGAGTGTAAGGAGGTTACATTATAATTATACTGTCGTCGGGGGGATTTTAACCAGAATAGTTTTTCTGCTATTAATTTTTTTTTTCCACATCACCCAGAATCAACAGCCATGCCCTCTGCCCAACACCTCTTCCCCCAGCAAGCCGAGAGTGCGTGATCGCGATGATCGCAATCTCATTGGTCGACAACTTTGCCCCCGGCAAGATCAACTCAACTTGGTTGTTCAGTATTTTTTACTCTCTCTCCCGTCTCACACTTAGCTACCAGTTGTCCATTTTCTACTAAATATTGATGAGCTGAACATGAAATATATCAATAATTTCCGTAGCAAATTAACAGTTTTTGAAATATTTGATTGTTCCTAATCGAGATAGATGTGCTTTGGATTAATCGGGGGTTCCAGGAGGGCTGCCCTCCTGGGGTAAAAGAAAATCTGAGGGGTTCAGGGGGGCGTGTTCGCCTGTTTCAACCCATAACTTGATATTTTACGGTTAGATTTGAAATTTTCTTGAAAATATTTTATTTGCGACAGTTTTAGTGGCTTTATATTTATGTGTAATCTATAGCAGACAGTGTACTGCAGTTTGACCCCCCAAAGCAGTGCATCTGTGGGCGGGAGTGAAAGTAGTGTCTACGTACACGGTAAGCGGCAACCAGGCACATAGGCCTAGTCTCAGTAAGCGGCAACCAGGCACATAGGCCTAGTCTCAGTGTCATGTACATGGTAACCGGGCATGTAGCCTCCATATCTACGTACACGGTAACCGGCAACCGGGCACGTAGTCTCAGTGTCACGTACACGGTAACCGGGCAGTTCAGTTTTTGTCATCCGGTGTAGCCATCCCCACCGCTCCCCCGACAGTACCGTTAAAAAAAAATCAATAATCCCCCATTCCAGAGCCCTATACTTAACGGTACTCACAATGTGATGCGCACGCACAGGTTCACTCACTGGTCACGATGGCAAGCCCGACAAGACGCTTTTGTATGACGATGGCAAGCCCGACAAGACGCTTTTGTATGACTTTCTTTTTTTTTTGCAAGTGACAGCACAGGACAAATATTGATTTATTATCATTCCGGTTACCGTGTACGTAGAAACTGAGAATAGGTGCCCGGTGACCGTGTACATACGGTAGATACTGAGACTAGGTGAGACTAGGTGCCCAGTTACAGTGTACGTAGATACTGAGACTAGGAGAGACTAGGTGCCCGGTTACCATGTACATAGATACTGAGACTAGGTGCCCGGTTACCGTGTACGTAGACACTTCAACAGTAAAAATTTACCGGTTGTTCTGTTCACACTTATGATGCAGGGAAGGCCCGTTTAGATCGATCTACATTTAGATCTAGTGACTGGATATTAAGCTCACCTCTCGACTGTCTAAGAAGAGCTTTTCTGAACTCTCTGCTCTGTAAACAAAAAAAGCCCTCCTAATGATGGCCTAATCTCCATATACAGTCGAACCTGCCCTAACGGCCACCTCTATAATAGACGGCCACCTGTACAAACGGACACTTTCCGTTTCCCCCCTTGCGTTTTTTCTATATATAGTTTAACTGTGTAAAACGGGCACTGTCCAACGCGGCCGCGGCCACCATATTTTAGCACACAACCCTTATCACACTAAGCAATAACACCTGTCTTAGACGGCCACCTTAGTGACTCCATTAAGTTTTTTTTAAATAGTCATAAATTGTGCACTGGCCCCTGGCGTTATGTAGGCCCCTCCCACTGTTACACCAAGTTTCAGCTGCTGGTGAGGTAAGCATGGGATCCCTCATTATAACCCATAAGCCCCGCCCAGAACTCATACACATCTCGTACGTGAGATGAGTGGTCGTCACTGTTTACCCAGTCTGTAACAAAGTAACAATGGACGTCAACATGAACTTGTGACAGAAGCGTCGCTCGTTCTCCGAGTGGACGGGGTGGTGGTGACCCATGTGTTTGTTTTAACATGGCACCCAGTCTTCCTCGTCTAATACATTTCGTTTTATTGTCACCCTTGTGCAAAATCAGCAACAAAATAAAAATTATATCAAATATTTTTTTTATACAAACCAACAACAACAAAAACAACAACAATGCGGCTACTTTCGATTGGGACTTCAGATGGGAATAATTTGTTTTCTTCATTTTGATCAGTCCTGCCTAAGACGGCCACCTGTCTTATACTGCCACTTTTCTCCTTGACAATGGGTGGCCGTCTTACACAGGTTTGACTGCATCTGATTAATAATCTAAAAGGCCTAACACACGCCTCACTCACATCTCATTCATCAGTACTGCAAGATCTATAACGTTTGTTTGTCATACAATTCATCTATTAATAATAAATTAGATATAATCTAGATCTAGATCTAGTAAACTAGAATCTAGATCTAGATCTAGATCTAATTCTAATCAACCAGCCGTTTTCGGTTTCCTCACCTGTCTGATGCCGGCATTCTTCTTGCTGATGCCTGACTTGGTGGATGCAAGTTGCGCTTGTTGCCCATTTCGATTGTCTCTACTTTATACTGCAACTAGATATATGTGGCACATCTCTTTGCGTTCAGTCTAGACTCTAAACAGTTGCCACAGACTTCAGTGCAGGTGTTCAGTTAGAGAGTCAATCAATATGTTTATAGTTAAACAGACCTTTTATTTTTATAGTAGAGTATGTATACAGTATAGTAGTCAGTCTTGTGGCAAAGGACAGATCTTTGCGAAATGCGTCGAGAGTGTCCTCCCCTGCAAATTTTTGTACTGTCGTGATTGTCATGTACCGCTTCCTTCGTTATCTGACACGCTCACCGCTAACTAACTGCAGTGCTAACTTGCTAAGTAAGTGCTAACAACACCACAGTCCACAGTACTTTCCAGTTTCCAGCCCTGCTGTCAGTCAGCTGTTGCCTAGCCCAGCCCCACCCAAGTACGAGGCCTTAGTGCGGTGTTGTGACTGGCGAAGCGGCGGCTTGTGTACAAACAGATTCATCTTTCTCACACCTCTGAGTCTGAGTTGAACAAGCAGGGTCTCTAAAAGTAAGACTAGAACTAGAATCTATATCTAGAGATCTAGATCTCTAGCTAGAATCTAGATCTACATCTAGATTCTAGATCTAGAGTCTAGAATAGATGAGGCCCTCTTGCCATCTAGAATCTAGATTCTCACCCCGGGTGAGAAGAGCACAGGCGAGTCTTTTGTCTATGGCCACCTCTATTGGCTATTCTCACCCGGTGCGCGTGTCAACAAATTTTGCATTCACCCTAAACCACAGAATTCTACACTGTGATAAGAGAAAAATTGTAGAATTCTGTGCTGTGAACAAACGTTCCAACTGTAGCCTACTAAAAGCATACAATTTTGTCTGTGGGCAGTGGAAAGAGAGAGAGGAGTAGCGCGAGAATTTCCGGGCAAAACAAAATGACGACCCGCGTAGTTCGGCTCGATTCGAAAAGTTAAATAGCCGTAGCATCTTTGTAGACAACCAAATTAATTTACTTTTGTGTTTTAACATCATTTTTTAACTTTGTTTTGGTCAGTTTGATTGTCCACACCGATAGACAGTATTCAGAAAGAGACAGAGAGAGAGAGAGAAGAGGGGAGGAGTTGATCTTGCGAGAACTTCCGGGCGGGTGAGAATAGCCACTTTCTATAACTTAACCTAGAGAAAATCTCAATTAGAACGATTACTTCTGGTTCTAAGTCTAAACGATTACTTTTTGATTCGCATGCCGGAGAGATAGCCTTTCAAACCTAATTGCAAAAAAACATCAAGTCATGGTCAAATTCAGAGGGGCATGCCCCCTAGATCTACATCTGGGCTAGGCTAGGCCTACTTTTCCGAGACTGTCAAAGCGGAAGCAGAATTTAATTTCTAAATTGAAGTGTTATTCTGCACCCAAATTTACACCCGAATGACGCATGCGCAGTTTGTTCTTTTTTCTGTTCTCCATTTACCCTCATGCTGTGAGAAAGCACATGTGACATGCTAAAGGCTAGGGAGCAAAATTCTATTCATGGCCAGAATTTCAACAGAAGTTGAAAAAATTTGAGGCCGTACAGAAATGTTCTTTTGTCTTCAAATATTCAACCGAATCGACGACGGACAATAAATCCCGAAATTGTTCAACAACAACTAGCCTACTACTACTAATCTACATCACCACCACAACGACAAAAACAACTATAACAACTACAACAATGACAACAGCTGAAGAAGAACAATAACAACAACATAATGACGACAACAGCAACAACAACAACAATCACTACTACTACTACTATTACTGTACCCTACTAATTACTACAACTTATACTTACCACTACCACTTCTACTACTACTACTATATATACTGCTGCTGCTGCTACCTACTACTACTACTGTCCTCTACTATTACTGGGGTCGTAGAGTACGTCCACCTCACAGAGTAAAGGAAGTCATAGAAAGTATAATGGGTGAGGAGATCCAGCTAACCAAAATCACTGCTAGGTGGACCGAAAAAAATATCGGGGCTGTCATGAAACCAAAACCCCTGTCATTGGTGTGACAAGTCAGTGTTCTACCGACTGATCTACTGCTCCCCCCCCCCCCCCCCCCCCCCCCCCCGCCCCGTTGGTGACTTTTGTGTAGTAAAAATTCTGTTTTCTTAAAACAGCAGGATCTGGAGGGACTACCTAACCTAACATGACGGCTCGCATACAGCGCCAGGGGCCAATACACGATTTATGACAAAACGTAATGGAGTCACTAAGATTGCCGTCAAAGACATATGTGATATTGCTTGGTGTGATAGGGGTTGTGTTTTAAAATATGGTGGCTTCGGCCGCTTTGGACAGGTGCCCGTTTTACACAGTTAAATTATGTAGAAAAAACGCAAGGGGGGAAATGGAAAGTGGCCATTTGTGCAGGTGGCCATCTTATAGAGATATGGCCGTCAAGGCAGGTTCGTCTGTATTGTTAAAAGTTCACCACTGGCCATTTCCTCACAAGCAAGTGGCAATATCCCAAATAAGAAATATGGGTGCAGCTCCTCTTTCCTGTTGTTTCTCTTAGTTGGTCTTTGTCCACACATTACCTATGGATGCACCAGTGGGTCAGTTGGCATCTTGCTAGACCATGAAATTGATTGCCTTGGTTTATATCCTCAAAGGAGTATCGTTCTGAACTTGGATTGTTCTGGAAAGTTTTTAAGACTTTCTGCCAATTTGGCTCAAATCCTATTTGAGAAGGATATCAAATTTAAAAGTTCCACTCACCTCTTAGATATGACCTTGAATTTACATGATAGTTGAACAGGACAGGAAAGCTATACAAATAACAATTTCTTAAACTAATATTAAGAGAAAAATAATAATAATAATAAATAGCATTTGTATAGCGCATATCCCCGCTCAACAGCAGGCTCTATGCGCTTTACACTATATTATTACCCCAGCAGACCATAGAACACTCCGAAACATTCTCAGCTTCCCGGGAAGCATACAGTGCAAGCAGCTGATTAAGCGCTCAAACACTAACAAACTGACAAGATCTTTCGCTGTCTATAGCCGGGTACCCATTCCCACCTGGGTGAAGTGAGGAAAATTCGTGTA